GAAGGAGGGTCTAGGCCCGAAACGTCAGCCTTCCTGCTCCTCTGATGCTGCTTGGCCTGCTGTGTTCATCCAGCTCTACACCTTATTATCTCAGTCTTCACCAGGACTGTCCACCCATTCAGCCACAGCTGCTTTCTGGTCTCTCCAGTACTTGATCTCCAAAATGTTCCAGCTCAATGTCACATCTGGACACTGGCAGGAGAGGGAAGAGGTAGTGGGGGTGAGAGGAATGCAGAATACAGCCATGGTTCATGTCACAGGTAAGAGTTTGTCATTGGATTCTGGGCAGTTTATCCTTGTGGAAAAGTTTCCCTGTCTGAATCCTGGAGCTGCTTTGTCATGTGTGTAAAGTTCGATGTGACTTCTCACAGTCAGTGAGAAAAAAAGATTTCTTAACAATAATAACCCTCGTTTTTCCAAAGGGGTCCCTTCAGCTTTCAAAAGACAAATGACGTGAATGACTAGCTGTTGGCTACTGCAGAGCTGCCGAAAGCATCTCTGAGCAGATGAATTCTAAAACATAATTAATAGAAGGCTGCATATTGCAATGTCTGGACTCCAGCTGGGAAGATGGTGTTCGGGGAAATCAGGCTGTCAGTCATGCCTGGATACAACACTGTTTGAAGTGGCTGCTGTTGGTTTTATTCCCACATAATTTGTATTACGTAACTTACTGCCGTTTTTTTTTGGAGAAATGATCTTGCCTTTATCAGGAGACTTGGCTACAGTTTTGTTGATGGAATTCAGTCTCCTGAAGAGGTTGTGCTTCTTGAAGGCAGTGAGGGATGGACAACAAATGCTGGTCTTTCCACTGATGCCTGTATCGCATCGAATTTTGTTTTAAAAGTGGGGCATCTTTTTCAGAATTAACAGACTTGTTTGCCTTAACTCCTGTCACGTCCCACCCTGCCTCCAACCCAGCTGCTAATATATTGCTATTTCTCACTGTATACAGACCTGTCACTGGATAGTTAATCCACGGGTGCAAGCTAACATTGTGGGGTTGGGACTTCAAATTCCATTTATGGTAGCTGGTAGATTTCAAATTCAATTAAAACGTGGAATCACAGTAATGGTAATTACGATTGTTGTGAAAACCCAACTGGTTCCCTAATGGGTTGGATAGCTGCTGTCCTGACCCAGTCTGCCCTATGTGTGACTCCAGATACACATTAACGTCATTGACTGTTAAATGTCCTCCATTATGGTCTCTCCAGCCATGCAGTCCAAGCAACATTAAGCATGGTTGACAAACATTGGCCTTGAAGTGATGTCTACTTCCCATAAAAGAATTAAAAATGAAGTTGGAATTGGAGTAAAGGAGGTATAGAGGTGAGCATGATCATAGAGACCTGCTGTTTAGAGAGCCCATGCTCAGTTTACAGTTTTAATTATACAGTGGCTGACTATTGCTGCTGGTTATAGCAAACCAACAATGGAATATTGCCTGTGGTAGCAGAACATTGTAACAACACCCAGCTAAGGCTCAGAGACTATCTTCAGAAAGTTGCATCTCTCGCTGACTAATATAAAACAGGTTGTTATGGCTTAAGGTTAAGTCCTTCCAGTTGAATGGAAATTGTTTGAAACTGAGAATTAAATGGGCCATTGTGAAAGTACAGTAAAATGGCACTGGTGAGCTACTGTACTCCTAATATAAATCAGCACTTGCAGGAGGTGAGGAAACAGAGTAGAATATTGGTTTGGAGTGAGGAAATGGGGAGGTGACAGCCTAGTGGTATTATTGCAGGGCTGTTACTCCATAGACCCATGTAATGTTCTGGGGACCCACTGTGGCAGATGATGGAATTTGAATAAAAATAAAATCTGGAATGAAGAGTCTAATGGTGACCTTGAATCCATTGCTGATTGTCATAAAAATCCATCTCGTTCACTAATGTCCTTTAGGGAAGGAAATCTGCCATCCTTGCCCGGTCTGGTCTACATGTGACTCCAGACCCACAGCAATGTGGTTGACTCTTAACAGAGCTCTGGGCAATTAGGGATGGCTACAAGTACTGTCTTGGCCGCTGATGCCCACATCCTGTGAATGAATTTAAAAGAAAAGGCACATGGTAACAGTTTCATAGTCTCCAACTTTGTCCATTAATCTGTTTTTACTATTTGTACATTGTGAATCAGAGGCAATTTTCTTTATCCACTGTGTGTAGTCTCAGCAGGCCCCCCCCACCCCTCAGCCTGTCACTGCGACACTTGGTCTGATGTGAATTCATGGTGAATATCCTCTGGTTCCTTGTCCAGAATGGCCAGGTATGAAATGCAACAGTAGACTTTGAGAATTAACTGACCTCAAACAGTTTGAAGGAGTGGGGTGGAGATTACCACTGGCCAGCTGCTCCTGAACCTGTCCTTATCCAACATCTCTACACATCTGGCAGATAGCAGAGGAAGCCCATATCTTGCCCTCTCACTCTGTGGTTCAGAGGGGCCTATGAAAATGCACATGAACTGTCCTTTCCAGTGTGAGCAGATAACTCATGTAGACAGGCAAATCGAACGTGGGATCTTCGAGCTGCATGGCACCACAGCAATGTACTTCACCTAATGTGATATCCAGTCTAAGAGTATTGTATTGAGAGATAATGCTGTTGCGTTGTTAATTTGATCTGAAACCTCAAATTGACTGCTCATAGTGTAATAAAACTGCTATTCATCATTCAGCAACGATCAACAATGAGTTCAAATCACATCAGTTGTGAAATTAAATTCAATACATCAAGTTGATTATGAGCGAGTGCAAGGAATAATGATTATGGAAGTTGCCAGATTTTTCGGTAATGCCCTTCAGGGTAGAGAACCAGCCACATTTTCCAAATGTTCAATTTTGAAAGGCCCTCTGAATTGATCCCAGAATGGTTACAGTATAGAAGGGTTACAGTAGGCCCATCTGGTTCTCTGAATGAGTATTATAACTTAATGTCACTCTCCATGGTACAGGGCAGCAGAGTGGCTCAGTGGTTAGCACTTTTGCCTCACAGCGCCAGGGACCTGGGTTCGATTCCACCCTCGAGCGACTGTCTGTGTGGGGTTTGCACATTCTTCCTGTGTCTGCGTGGGTTTCCAAACATGCAGATTAGATGGATTGGCCATGCTAAATTGCCCGCAGTGTCCAGGGATATGCAGGCTAGGTGGTTAGCCATGGCAAATGCAGGGTTACAGGGATGGGGAGGGTGGGTCCGGATGGTTTTCAGAGGGGTGGTGTGAACTCAGTGGGCTGAATGGCCTGCTTCCTCACTGAATTGATTCTATGATCTAGCCTCTCCCTGTAACCCTGGACATTAGATAATTATTTGAATAGAAATATGCTCCTGAATGCCTTCCAGACCATACATTCCAGCTGCTGACTAGCCGCTATGCGAAAAGGGTTTTCTCACATTGCACTTGCTTCCTTTGCAAATGACGTCAAATCTGTTCCCTCTCATTTTTGATCGTTTTACAAGCAGGGACTGACTCTCCCCATCCATTCTGTTCAGACTAGTCATGAGTTTGAAAAAGTTCATCAAATCTCCTCTTAGTTTCTCCCCTGCAACTAAAACAGTCCCAACTCTCCAATCTAACCTCATAACTAAAGTTTCTCATCCCTGCAGCCATTCTCATAAACCTTGTTCTCCAATGCATTCACACTATTCCTGAGGTATGGTATTGAGAAGTGAACATAATGCACCAGCTCAGTTATAATTAGATCTTATAGAAATTTAGCACAACATCCGTGCTCTTGTATTCTGTCCTGCTGTTAATAAAATGTAGAAAACTGTATGCTTTATTCTTATCCCTTTCCCCTGTCCTCCCACCTTTAATGATTTACGTACACATACACCCAGGGTTCTTTGCTCGTGCACACCCTTCAGAACAGTACCCTTTCTTTTATACTGTCTCCTCATGTTCTTTCTATCAAAATGTACCACGTCATACTTCCCCACATTGATCTTCATCTGCCGCCTATCTGACTCCACCAACCTGTCGGTCACACGGCATGATGGCTCAGTGGTTAGCTTCGGAGGGACCCGGGTTCAATTCCAGCGACTGTCTGTGTGGAGTTTGCACATTCTCCCCGTGTGTCTGTGTGGGTTTCCTCCCACAGTCCAAAGATGTGCAAGTTAGGTGGATTGGCCATGGTAAATGCAGGGTTATGGTTATGGGTGGGATGCTGTTCAGAGGGTCAGTGTGAACTCAATGGGCTGAATGGCCTGCTTCCACACTGTAGAGATTCTATGATTCTAATATACCCTTTTTTTATATTCTACGCTGCCCTCCTCAAGTTGGCAATGCTTCCAGGTTTTGTATTGTCAACAGGTAGACTTGTCCCTTGCATGCCAAGATCTCAATCATGAATGTAAATAAGGAAAAGAAAAGAATTATAGAGTCATGGAGATGTACAGCATGGAAACAGACCCTTCAGTCCAACACATCTGTGCCGTTTAGATATCCTAAATTAATATAGTCGCATTTGGCCCCTATCCCTCTAAACCCTTCCTGTTCCTAGACCCATCCAGATGCCTTTTTGATTGGTCACAAGCTTTCTTCATTGAGTTTAAATTCCGCCAGCTGCCATGGTGGGATTTGAAACCATATCCCCTGAGAACTAGCTCAGGCCTCTGGATTGCTGGTCCAGTGATGTCTCCACTGTGCCACCATTACATCACTGCCTCACCTCCAAGTCAGTTGATCCAAACACCTTGCACAAAAGAAAGCCCATTGCCACACTCTCAATGCATCAAGAAATATGGCCATTAGATAGCAATATTGCTTTTGTCTTGAAAGCCAAGAGTTTTATTTTCAATGTAATTCTCAAAGCCTATAACTAACTGACTAAACTTCTGTTCTTCTATTACAGGCGTGCCATTGGCTGGATGAGATGGTGTGTGAGTTTCTGGTACCTATGAGGATTGGGATATGATAGGATCTCTGGTGGTGTATTTTGCGTGCAAAGGTTCTTGCTGCGCTTTGCTTTGTCCGGGAGCCCATGGTTGTGAGGCCTTGTTCATTTTACAGTAAAATATCGTGAATGTTTGCACTGGGAATTATTTCTGTAGACTTGGGATATGGCTTTGCAGCAGCTTTGCGAGTGAGCCCTGACGCCTTAAGAAGCTCTCACCATTTCCCACTCCAAGCTGAGCAGATTTCGAAAGACATTCTTGAAAATGACCAGCCTTTTCCGGCGGAACAGTAACAATGGCAACTCCAAGAATGGCTCAGCCAACGCACCGTCACAGCTGCTCAACAACAGCAGGCCGCCCCGACAGGTCCGGAGACTCGAGTTCAACCAAGCCATGGAGGACTTCAAAGTCATGTTTCCAAACATGGACTATGACGTGATCGAGTGTGTCCTGAGGGCCAACAACGGAGCAGTGGACGCCACCATTGACCAGTTGTTGCAGATGAACTTGGACTGCGGATTTGACAATGGGTATGATGATAGCTCGGACTCTGATGACAGTATTCCCCCAGAGGTAAGCTCATCAGCTTTAACATTGTTGGAGGTGAGGTGGGACTGGCACACTTTATCGAATGAATGTGATTGCTGGGCCTGCTTTTGATGCACACTTGAATGAAACTTAGGGCCGTGTGACAGAAAATGCCTGAAGTTTTTTGCCCATGCTACTTTTGGAACCATCTCTGTTTAAAAACTACTTCTTGCCCCATTAGTAAACGCATTGCCCGCGGCATGTGTACTTGAGCCACGTTGACCTGGAGATTCTTGGGTTTGAACCCAAGACCGGGCTGATTAGTAAGTCCTGTGAGATACCCTCATGCAGTACATTGATGCAACACATACAAGATACAAATTTTGAGATTTTGTCATTTGGTATTAGCTCCACTGTGCTAATGAGGAACTTAGGCACCAATCTTTATCCATTGAGGTTATGTTAGCTATTTCCCAGCCCTCTGGGACCCTCCCTTATTCCAGTTATTCCTGAGAAGTTAGAGATTGCCTCAGAGTGCAGTTGCCTGTAGTGGCAGGGCTAGCTAGAGGCCTTACTGTCTATGGAGCAGTCTCAGTGAATCCTTTGGAGGAGAGCTCCTCTATCGGAGCAGAGGTCATCCCCGTAAAGAAGACATTTAGTTGCTTTGAAAACACATTAAATGAGTTGCCTCTGATATACACTATAATTACTGTAATAGTAATTATAATAAATACTAAGTATAATTAATTCAATACTTTCAATTTAAAGGATCAATCAGGTTACTGTAACATTGTACCCCAGAAACTTGTTTTCTTAACACAGAGTCTACATAAGTCACTTTGCTTTGAAGTATTTTCTTTTGATGTTTGAGTCAAACTACTGCAGCTGGTCTAAAATACCCTCAGTACCAGCATCGATCGCCAATCGTCATTCAATTTAGTTTTAAATCCTTTTAATATCCACTGAGAAATAACAGTGACTACCAGTCTGTCTTCCTGCAGCTGAAGAAATGGATCATGAGGTCAAGCTACACCCCAGGGACGAACAGAAATTGCTCGGCAGGTCTGGCAGCATCTGTGGTGCGAAAACAGAGTTAAAGTTTCAGATCCAGTGACTCTTCTTCAGAATCCCAGAATCTTTAGCACAGTGCTTTCCAGATGTTTTCTCACCATAATCCTGTTTGGAGGCTTGAAAATTGAATGAAAGAATTGGCTTTATTGTCACGTACTCAAATGAGTACAGCAAAAAGTCTACAGTCTCTGCATTACGGTCCCAGCTTAGGTACAAAGGCACCTATGTGTAGATACTTAAGATCAAATTCTAGGAAACGAAGAAAAAAATAGAAAAGTAAAGAAATAAATAGTCCAGCATTATAGGTCATCAGCATAAATTAGAAAAATAAAGAAGTACAAAGTTCAGAATATCAGTCTTTCCGACCCAGTCCGTGCTGGCACTTAGTCTTGAAGGAGAATAGTTACAATCCTTCAGTAAGAGCTGTAGGAGCGAGGGCCTGTTAGAGTAGGAGCACGACTGTTATAACTTGATTGGCGCTCCATTTTTGATTAGATCTCACGGTCCCAGAGATATTAAACAAAAGACTTTTCTTTGTTGTTTTTTATTCTTTCCTGGGATGTGGGCATCTGTGTCAAACTTGGCATTTATTGCCCATCTTGAATTGCCCTTGAACTGAGTGGCTTGCTCGGGCAAGAAGGAATTAGACCTATTACTGGGGATCTGGAGTCACACATTACGGAACAGGATTTTCTGGTAATGTATTTTGATTCTGTTCTGAGGAAGGGCCGGTGGGCTCGAAACTCTGCTTTCTTTCCACAGGTGCTGCCAGGCCTGATGAGATCCCCCAGCAATTTTTGTTTCTGAATCTATTTTTAATGTTTTTTGAGATCTTGCTGTGTGGAAATTGGCTCCCACAACTTACCAGAGGTTTCCATTTATAATTTCAAGGATGTGAAAGATGATGTAGGAATGTCATTTATTTCTTTAATAAATGCTTCCTGTTGAATATGTCCGACCAGCAAGTTTGGCAAGTTCTGAAAACTGCCACTTTTCCAAAATACCTCTGGAATGTTCGCCTCCTTTCTGTTGCTTGCTCCTCTCCACTTCCCAACCTTTACAGCAGCACCACAACAGAGCCTTCCCATCCATTCATGGAAAGGATTGCTTTCTATTCTAGTGTGGTCTCTAATGTCGTTTTTGACTTGGTGGCTGCTAAATGTCTGGTATTAATGATTATGAAATCAGAAATTTCCTGATGTTTTCAAGTCATATTGCTGACATACACCTTTACAAAATGTCTGAAAAGATGTAGAATCTTCAGCGTTTCAGAAGATACAATTTTTGTTATTGATAGCTACAGATCCAGAGAATCCCTACAGGGTGGAATCAGGCCCTTCGGCCCAACAAGGCCACACCGACTGTCAGACTATCCCACCCAGACCCATCCCCCTATAACCCACCTAATCTACACATCCCTGAACACTACGGGAAATTTAGCATGGCCAATCCACCTAACCTACACGTCTTTGGACCGTGGGAGGAAACCGGAGCACCCGGAGGAAACCCACACAGACACTGGGAGAATGTGCAAACTCCACACAGACAGTCGCCCGAGGGTGGAATTGAACCCGGGTCCCTGGTGCTGTGAGGCAGCAGTGCTAACCTCTGAGCCACCGTGCCGCCGTTTTGATATAGTGAGATTCCTTAACTTTGGTTCCCTCACACAAGTGAGTGATTACATTTTGGATAATGAGAAGGGAGGAATTTGAGATGTGACGTGTGTTAACGGGTGGCAGACTCAGTAAGAGCAGATAGAGTCAGAGTGGTACAGCACAGAAACAGGCCCTTCGGCCCAATTTGTCCATGCTGAACAGGTTTCCTAAACTGAACTAGTCCCGTTTGCCTGTGTTTGCCCCATATCCCGCTAAACCTTCCTTATCCATGTACCTGTCCAAATGTCTTTTAAGTGTTGTAATTGTACCTGCCTGTACCACTTATCCTGGCAGCTCGTTCCAAATACGCACCATCTCTGCATGAAAAAGTTGCCCCTCAGGTCCCTTTTAAATCTTTCCCCTCTCATCTTGAACCTATGTCTTCTTGTTTTGGACTCCCTCTATAAGGTCACCCCTCAGCATCCTTCACTCCAGGGAAAACGTCTCCCTATAACTCAAACCTTCCAGTTGTCGTAACATCCTTGTAAATCTTTTTTGCACCCTTTCCAGTTTAATAACATCCTTCCTATAGCAGTACTCCAAATGGGGCCTTCCCAATGTCTTATACAGCTGTAACATGATATCCCAACTCCTACACTCAAAGCTCTGACCAATGAAGACAATTGTGCCAAACATCACCTTCACCATCCTGTCTACCTGTGTCACCTGTTTTAAGGAACCTGCACCCCCAGGGTCTCTGTTTGACAACACTCCCAGGGCCCTACCATGAACTGTGTAAGTATTGCCAAACGCAACACCTCGAACTTATCTAAATTAAACTCCATCTGACATTCCTCAGCCCACTGGCCCATTGTTGATCAAGATCCCATTGTACTCTTAGATAACTTTCTTTACTGTCCACTATACTACCAAGTTCGGTGTCATTGACAAACTTAGTAACAGTGCTTCCTCTCTTCTCATTCAAATATTTTATTTAAATGACAAACAACAGTGGACCCAGATACTTATTTAGGATCCCATCTGTCTCCTGTGGTTCCACACATAGAGGGCTTCGTTGGTCTTTAAGGGGCCCTATTCTCTCTGGTAATGTACTTGTAGAATCTCTTTGGATTCTCCTTTATTCTATCTGCCAAAGCTATCTCATGTTCCCTTTTTGCTCGCTTGATTTCCCTCTTCAGTGCACTCCTACACCCTTTAAACTTCTCGAGGGATTCACTTGATCTCGGCTGTCTGTACCTGACACATGCCTCCTCCTTTTTCTCGACTGGAGTCTCTGTATCTCTAGTCATCCTGTGTTCCCTACTCCTGCTAGCCTTGCCCTTCACACCAATAGGAACATGCTGGCCCTGAACTCTCGTTATTTTACTTTTGAAAGCCTCTCACTTGCCAGACATCTTTTTATCTGCAAATAGCCTCCCCCAGTCAATTTTTTAAAGTTCCTGCCTAATGCCATCAAAATCGTCATGCCCCAATTTAGAACTTTAACTTGTGGACCCGACCTCTCCTTTTCCATAATTATTTTAAAGCTAATAGAATTATGGTCACTAGCCCCAAAGTGCTCCCTGACTAACAGTTTCAGTCACTTGCTGTGCCTTATTTCCCAAGATGACTTAGGGCATAAACTATCTGAAATTCTGCTGTCTGTGTTCAAATTTACCCTTCACCCCCTACACTTGCAGATCTACACTAACTTGTTTCCGGTCAAGCAATATCTCAGTTTTAAAATTTTCATTCTTGTTTGCCAGTTCCCCATTGTTTCATTCCTCCATACCTCTATACAATTGTCTGAGCTAACAGTGATATTCTAATTCTGGCCATTTGAGTGGACCGGATTTTTAATTTCTCCAGCTTGAATGGATGTGCCATCAACTGACAGCACTTCACTGCTGGAATTCCTGTGCGAAATCTCTCTGCCTCCTTTTCCTTCTTTAAGACCAACTTTGACCAGGGTTCTAGTCATTTGCCCCACTTTATGTCCTCACATGGCTCTGTGTCCAATTTTATTTGCTTCTGTGAATGAGATGCTCGTCTACATTTAAAGCTGCTGTGTAAACCAAAAGTGTAGTTGGAAGCTCCTAATCATTGGAGTTCTCCTTGCATCATGCTTGGATGGGTTTTATGTTACTGGTGGTTGCTGTGATCAATCAATAACTCCATTATTGATGCACCTAACTACTGGTCTAGAGTGGTACAAGGCAAGCTAAATGAACTTTGGTTGCTTTTCTGCTAACCGCTCCCATATTCCTCTGACCCCACCCTTGCTCTGGTGGCAGTGGGTAGACTTGCATGCATGAAGGAAATGAACAATATGCACAGATCTGTAAGAGGACTCAGAAGTCTTATGAATCAGATGAAGCC